GCTGGCGGCGCTGACCCCCCCGGAGCTGCTGCTGGAGCCGGGAGCCGCTGCCCCCCCGCTGGGGACCCAGGTGAGGGGGGGGCAGAAGTTGGGGACACCGGAGGGTGACATTGGGGGGGGGGGTTGACACCGTGGTGACATCACAGGTCGTGGCCACGGAGGAGGAGGAGGATGAYGACGAAGACGATGACGAAGGGCCCGGCCCCCCGCTGCCCCCCCCGGCCTTCAGGGACCCCCCGGGCAGGGGGGGCTCCAGAGTGGCCCAGTGCTGACACCCCCCCACTGTCCCCAAAACTGCCCCAAATGTCCCCAAAAGAGCCCCCATTAAAGCGCTGACCCAACAGGGCCAGACGCACGGGGTGGGGGTCCTTGGGGGGGGGGCAGGACGAGGGCCCATGGGGCGATTTCAGCAACATCCCCTCCCCTCAATTGTGCAAAGCCTGTTTTTTCCTGGGGTGCTCTATTAGTATACTTACAGCACTTGCTTCATTTCCCAGGGCGGCTCTATTAGGGTATTTACAGCTCCCAGTCTGTTTTTAGGGGGGTACTTCTATTATGGAGTTTAGGGTGCTTGCACAGTCCAGCTTCTTTGTGCCCCTCTATTAGGTGCTTTACGTTAGCACCCTCACCCTACTGTAACCGTAAAGACTGTAATAAAGCGCACGCACAAAAGCGCCGCTCTACCGTAATGGTGCTATGAATGCGCACCAAAACACGAGCCAGGGACTACCACAGGGTGCCTAATAGCCGGGCACTCTCCACCAGCCCCTTCTGCTACCGTAATGCTACTTAAAAAGAGCTGCTAAAAAGCCCTCAGGTGGCCCCGTAATGCTGCTAATACAGACCCCCTCCCCAAACCCCCGAGTCTTTCTGCTACCGTAATGCTACTTACAAAGAGCCGCGCAAAAATCGGGGGCCCCGTGGGGGAAGGCATTTGGGGCTCTTTTGGGGGGTCCGAGGACACAAGAAGGACTCGATTGCGGTGTGGGGGGGAAGGTTTATTCACCCCCTCCTCTGGGGACACGCGGGGGCCCCGGCGTCCGGGGGCGGGGGTCACTCGGCCGTGAAGACGCGGGCGGCGATGTCGTCGAGCAGCCAGTCGATGGCGGCCAGCAGGTTGTGGCCGGTGACGGCGCTGCAGCCCACGATGCGCCAGCGGTGGCTGCGGATGCTGTCCAGCTGCAGCGCCTGCGGGGCCCAGGCGTCCGGGAGGGGAGCCGGGGGGGGAGGCTGCCCCCCAACCCCCCAGGCACCCACTGAGGGAGCCCCGGGCGTTTGGGGGACTTTGTGGCACCCACGGAAAGGGCCCAGGCGTCCGGCCTCACCTCGCGGATGGCCTCGGCCGACAGGGCCCCCGGCAGGTCCTGCTTGTTGGCGAGGATGAGGAGGGTGGCGCCGGCCAAGCGCTGCGGGAGGAAGAGCGGCCCGGACCCCG